CCCGCCCCCCGCCCGGGGCCGTGCCGGGAGGGCGGTGCGGGACTCCCAAGGCCCGGGCCGGGCCGGGCCTACCCGGGCACGGGCGGCGGGCAAGAGTCGGTCTATAAAATAACAAGTTCAGATTTGCAGAGGACAGGTCCTGGCAACACAGTTCACTGCACCTCGGTCCTGCTGAGCAAAACTTGTCCTCGGCTCCGCTCAGATTGCTGCCTCCCCATGTAAAAATAAACAGGGGAGTGGCGAGGAGCCCACGGCCCTCTCCCTGTCTTCATTTCCCCAGGTTCACAGGGCTTTGTGCCTGTTAGCAGCCCACACCGCGGAGGATATGATGCGGCACACCCCACACCCCCTCCCATCATTAACTCTGGGACAACTGGTCATTTTTTTTTGACTGCTGAATTTAATGTACTTAGGAGCTGTTTAATTCAGCTTACATTGGTCCATATATGCATATAAAAGTGCTGTAATACAAGATTCCAGTTACAAGAAGTAGGTATTTCATAACATACTGACTATGGCACCATTACTCAACAGGCACAGTCTGCTACACCAACTCTCCCTCTGCTTTCCTGTGAGAGTATTTCCAGTTTCAACGTTTATACGAGACTTTAAATGACGAAGCTGTTTCCGACATCAGCTGCCCCTTCCACTGTGTAATCTGGCCCCAGGGGCATAAGTGCAGTGGCTGAAGGTGGCCAGCCAGGGAAAATGCTCCAGACTCAGGCAGCTCAGAGTTTGCTCCTCCTCGTCAACTCTGGCAGATCGCTCCTGTTATGCGGCACTCTCAGAAGTCACATTACTGCATACAGCAGCAGTAGAGGACATGTTTAAGAACTCTTCAAATGAAGGGCCTTCATCCTCAAGGTGTATCTCTGCCTCAAACATACGCTGTAGCAGAGAGTCAACTGTCCTGTACCCTGTAGGTGGCAAAAAAAAAAAACAAAACACAAAAAAAACCAAACACAAACCAAACAACCCCAAACAATCACTGTAAGCATCCATTCTACTCTTCAACAGAAATTAAGTAGTGGCTACCTTGAGGCAACCCTTACTCAAAGGCTGCTCCTCATGTTCTACACTAAACAGGCAAGAAAACAAATGCCCCAAGCGATGTTCCCTAGTATTTTACCCCATATACTTTTAAGCACTGTGAATGCTTGTAAAGGGTAAGAGCATTATTTTAGTATTTTAAGCACTTCCATTCCCAGATTTATGATCCCAATCAGTTGCGCCAAGAAGCATGAGCTTGGTAAATAGCTAAGGAACAGCAAGAAAGCCAGCAGGAGAAAAAAAAAGTTACCAAGCTAGAGTAAAGGAGCATATAGTCACCCTGTGATCCAAACCAGGAGGAACTTGCAGTGCATATAGGCAGGAGAAAAGATGACAGACTTCTTGGCAACAGCAGGACCTCAGCCACCAAGGTATCTTCACAGACTGGCTACTGAATTGAAGACAAGCATGCACAGAAGATGAGATAGAAGACAGGAAAAGAAGCTGCCACAGAAGTGAAAAGAAACAGCAAACATTAGTGTGTCCAGTTTTCTCAAAACCTGCAGGTGGGTTTCTAGCCCAAAGGAAGCAGAAGTGGTGAGAAGCTTCCCCAAGGAGGCCATGATCAGGGACAGTTCAGAGCCATGTTCTCTTCAGCAAAAGACTGGGCACAGTGTAGGGCTGCACTTACGTTTGGAGGCAATTTTAAACATCAGCCCTTTAGACTGTGGCTTTGTTCCACCTTCCCCCTCAAGGTCATGCTCAGCACTCTCCATGTTATCAATGAGATGTTCATCTTGGAGCTCATCCCTACACAAAAAGGATTAGAAGTTACCCTGGAGACAATCATAGGATTATTCAGATTGGAAAAGACCCTTGGGATCATCGAGTCCAACCATCCGCCCTACTCCACACCCTACATCATATCCCCCAACATCTCATCCAAACAACCCTTAAACACATCCAGGGATGGTGACTCCATCACCTCCCTGGGCAGCCTATTCCACTGTCTAACCACTCCTGTGAAATTTTTTTTTCCTAACATGTTATATATCAGGACTGAATTCAGGTAGCTCTTGACTATAGCAAGTAACAGGATCTTGAACAGAGAGGAGGTTTCCACAGGGAAATGAAGGAAAGAGCATTTGTACCTCAGCCATTATACATTCTGTTCAAATTCATACTCATCCTACCCCGGGGCCCACAGGTACCCAGCAGGATTTTCTTGGGCAGAGCAAGCACCAGTCATGTTGTTAAGTCTCCAGCATCAATCCTGTCCTCTGGCAACAGCCTGGGGCTGGAAGAGTCCAGCAAGGCAGCTGCAAGGCCTACATGAGTAGCCTTCTGCTAACATCCAGACCAAGCCTATATGGTCATGACAAGTTAGCAAGAACTTTGTGACAAGGAAGAGGAGTCTCAGCTCACACCTCAGGACAGAGGGTGGCTTTTTCCTCCAGTCCCACAGCCCTCCTCAACTGTTCCAAGCCAGCCACATCCAGCACTACGCTTTTGGGGGCTTACTCTTGAACTCCCATTCCCAGCTCCTGGATTTTCCGTTCAATGGCTGTTTCTACTTCACTCTTCTCAAGAGAGTACTCCACAAAGAAAGCTTCCAAAATGAACGACACAAAGATACTGAAAGAAATGATGAGCAGAATTACATAACAGCATTTCCTTACTGGCATCCCCCCCTGCTTCTGGGCATCAACTACTCTCTCAGTATTCCCAGGCTCATTCACCAGCACTCCAAACCCTCCTGTGCTGGAGGTGGGGATCTCTAAGTCAGAACAGCACTCAGTGGAGTTAAGAATAGATGCAGCAGATTCGTCTATGACATGTCCTGGCTGTAAGAGTCACACCATGTGAGACCCCAGGACCACCAGCAGAGCCATGGCTGGAGGGAAGAGGGAGCTCTGTTCCCTAAGTGAAAACCAAAACTTACTTGACAATAATTATCACCATCACAATGTGGAAGGCAATGAAATACAGCTTCGCAGGCTGAACCGTCACATTGGCAAATCCATTGGCAAAAAATACAGCAGGAGTTAAGGATAAGAGCGCTAAAGGAGAGCAACATCTCACTGTAAAGTGGTGATAGGGGAGGAACCAGATAATATTCCCCGGCAATGAGCATCTGAACAAAGCCCCCTGCAAGGACCATTTCTCTGTTGTCTGGCACTACACACATGGGTGCATACAATACAAGGGGAAGAACAGAGTCTGGGAAGAACATGGATCACCAAGCTCTAGTTTGGACCTTCCACCACAAAGGATATCATGCCACTGATTGACTACAGTGAGCTCCATCAGGACAATGAAGGAAGAGGCAAAGTTGTTGAAGTTGTTCTTGCAGTATTTGGCACGGGCAAACAGAGAATCCTTGAGAGCTGCGTTTCCGCATTCCAGGGAATGAGGAGCATTTGAGTTTGCAGGGAAGAACTGGATTTTCCCATGGAATAACTCCATGCCAATAATAGCAAATACACAGTACACAACCTGGGAAGAGAAACCCCGTCACCTGCTTCTCCAGTGAGCAGCAAACTCCATGGCAAGTTCAGAGTTCCAACAAGTTTTCCAGCTTCTACAGACACGGCAAGCTGCTGAGAAGCAGCATAGAATCCAAGAGACCCAAGCCACTCAAGAGCAGGAATAATAAGCCAAGAACTCCAGCCCAAATACATTAAGTTTTCTCAAATCATAATAAAAGCTATTTCTAAGATGTTATTTGAGAAACAGGTTTCTCATTCAGCTTCTTGCCCAAACCATAGTTTGATTCCTTACAGTGTGAAGCCCAGACTGCACAGAACATCCTCACTGCCCAGTGGAGCAAAAAACTGATGTCCTGACCTGGCAACTAGCAGGAACCCAACCCTCTGCACACATTTACAAGTGCAATGACCAAGAATCAAGTGGACACTTACAGTTTCAAAGGCCCACCCTCTGAAGATTTGCATTTATCCTTTTGGAAACAGCATGAGCACAAGACTTAAGACACATTCCAGTAAAACTGGAGTGCTTTAAGCTAAGATACAAGGATTTCTTACCAGAGTCAGCCCACCAAATGTCAGCATTGTTGGTACGATGTTTATCAGTGTGTTCATGATGACCCGGAACCTACAGCAAATGATTTGTGACAACACCTGCTGTGGGGAGGCTCTTTTAAAGCCCATGCTTGCTTATCATCACATGCCACCCAGCATGTGTTCCCCACATATCCTTATTTATTATATTAGTAAGTCTCCAGAGAGGCTGCAGCAACTGGGCTCATCCCAGGCAGACTGAGACAAGGCCTTGGGATGCTTTGAGTGACTACGGTCAGTCTAAAGCAGCCATGCAGAGCAGCTCAAGGCACTGACTCAGCTAGCCTCTGACACAGCCTGCCCCCCACCCCCAAAACCACACAACCCTATCCCATTCTCCTCATTACCTTTGAATGCTGTCAACAATCCTTATTAGCCTGAGGACCCTTAAGATAAAGACAATGTCCAGGATCTGTTGGCTGTTGTACTTCGTGGCTGAGAAAGGAAAAAATATATTTTTTTATTTGTTATGAAAAATAAGCATAGACCCAAAGCATGTTCCTACATTTGTTATGATTATGTCCTTGGTAAACACTATTTACAACAGGTAGCTATAAAAAAAGAAAGAGATTGGGTTAGTTCTTAGAAACCCTACAGAAAATTCACTGTCTTGTCAAAAAGCCTCCCAAGCCCAAGGTGACGGCAAAAGACAATTCAAGACCACCAAGTTTCCCAGATGCATGCAGACTGCTTAAGCTGCACTTACTCGATCTCAGGGTGGTATTGAGTATCGTTGCAGTCAAGGCAGCAAAGATGATGAGAGTATCAAACCTAGCACAAGGGAAGGCAGTGGCTGTTAGATTTGCAGCGACAAAGAATGAGCACTTAAGCTGCCACACAACATAAAAGCAGTGACCCTCTCTTCCTTACATCTGTGCAAGACAGTCCTGCATCATCTCAAACCATTTGCAGGGTGGGAAGATGGGAAAGCTTTGTTCAGCAAAACACTTTCCCCCTGCCCAGCCACTATCTTCACATGCTGCAGAGGCACTTTTGACTGAGATAGAGAGGGGCAGAAAACAGTAGTCTCTGTCAGAGCCAGGTTAGGCCAGCACATTGTCCTCTGATGCATACAATCAGTTTAATTACATCCTGACACATGAGTTAAGTGGCCCATCTCTACAAAAGACCTTCAGTTCTTGAGGAGAAAAACACAAAGATCTTGCCACACTTCACACCACCCTTAAACATTTATCCCACTCACCAGTTCCAGAACTGATTTTTGCCAAAGAACGCCCTTGGTTCATAAGTGTACACTTTCAGGAGTATCTCAATTATATACAAAGCAAGGAAGACCCACTCTGCATAAGAAATATAAGGGGTTTCCTCATCCAGAGCAATGAAGATGGCGTTTATTAGAATGATCACATCATAAGTCCAAACAAATCCCCTGCAGGAAGAAAAAGAAACATCAGTTTGCCAATCCCAAGGTGGTAAAAGTTATTTCAAGAGTTCTTTGCTTCCTGTCAAACTCTGCCATTTAGGGAATTACCTTTACCCATCAGTTGTCCCCAAACCTGAGAGTTTAGAAAAGTTACTGCAGAGTTTAGCTTTGCCCTTTAAGTCCAACAAAAAGTAGAGCACAAGCCTTTAAGGTACACCATTGCCAATGCTCCCAGTGTTAAGAGACTGAATGCAACTAAGTTTTCAACAAGACAAGCAGCATTTCTCAAGCAGAAAGACTAGATGAGTAAAACAGAAGACTATACAGAATTGGGAGGGGTGACGGGTACACCAGATGGGTGTCCTGGAGCCAAGAGGGAGCTGGACAAGCTGGAAAGTGGGCAGAGAGGAACCCCACCATGTTCAAAGGGAAATGCAAAGTCCTGCTCCTACGGAGGAATAACCTCAGGCACCAGCACAGGCTGGGGGTGAACCAGAGGGTCGGGAGTGGGGGGGGGTCTTGGTTGACAAGCTGAACGTGAGCCAGCAATGCACCCTGGTGGCAAAGGAGGCCAACAGCATCCTGGCCCATGCTAGGAAGTGTGACAGCTCCATGGAAGAGATTTTCCCCATTTACTGGTAAGGTCACATTTAGAGTACTGTGTCCACAACTGGACTCACCAGTACAAGAGACACGAACATACCGGAGCAAGTGCAGCAAAGGATCACAAAACTGATTAAAGGATAGGATAGTCTAACACATTACATGTGGAGAGCACTGGGATTGTTCAGCCTGAGAGGGAAGAGGGTCAGGGGACTCTCAATAGGTATAAATACCTCATGGAAAGGTGTAGAGAAGACAGAGCCAGACTCTTCTCAGTGGTATCCAGTGGAAGCACAAGAGGCAAGGGGCACAAGTTGAAATACAAGATTTTCCATTTAAACAAAACCACTTGCTTTTTATTTTTTTTTAACCCAATGGTTAAAAAACCCACTGGAGCAGACTGCAGAAAGGTTATGGAGTCTCCATCCTTGGAAATACTCAAAACCCAACCGGACACAGCCCCAAGTAGCCTACTCCAGTTCACCCTGCTTTGAGTGAGGGGGTTACAATAGGAAGAAACTTCTAGAGATGGTCTATTTCAGTTATTTTGCCATTCCGGGAAGACTCAAGTGTCAAACAGAGCACTAGTTGCTCATAGTACCAACTTGTTAAGACCCAGTGAAGCAGCACAATGCAGCTTTGCAGCAAAGTCTGCTGAGGAGAGATCATCTTTAAGTGAAGCATTTAGTCTAGTCCTTCAAGGCAGGCCATAAAGCACTTCTTGCTTTTAGTAGAAGCTATTTACACTCAGCACCTATAGAAGATCTGAACAAGTGGGACTGAAAGAGGTATGGAGCTGACAATAGCCAAGTCTAGTTTCTCCACACCACTGAAGGTAGGTCAAGAGCACAGCTAGTCCACAGACCATTTTTTAATAACAGAAGCCCCAATATTTGCTTAGATGCAGTTTGTGCTTTCCAGCATGACACCCAGGTGAGCATTTGCTTGCAACACCACTGCTCTGCAGCCCTTTGAACGTTAAGAGCTGCTTGCTCCAGCAGCAGAGGCTTACCTGTGCCTAACCATGCTGCGCAGGAACCGACTCAGGGCTGACTTGTATACACCAGGCATCCATTGCCCCAGTGGATGGCTGCGTATTTTCAGGGTAATCACCTGGATGTTGAGGAGATCTGCCAGCTGTACAAATGACTTCTTGTCTACAGTAGGGGAGAGCACTACACATCAGTCTGCTGTTATTAAAAACAGTGTCCAGCAAACACAAACCTATATGCATGCTAGCTGCAGCAGTGTGGACTCAGTATCTGTTTGCTGCATCAGGCAAAGCACATGCCCAGAGCAGTATCCACCACAAAACAGGCTGATCTCAGTACTCAAGCAGCTGCTCTTGATCCATTACTGGGACACTGGCTCAAGCTATAGGCCAACAACCAGCACAAACCTTTAATGATCAGGATGGGCATGATCTAGCATGAGGAGACTGACCCGTCTCTCCTGATATCCTGTTTCCAGCAGGAGCAGGGTGAAAGGCTCCAGAGGACTGTGTGGGAAGCCACATTGCTTGGAGGAATCTGGTAACAAGGGAGGCTTTCCTTGTCCTGTGCTGGGAACAGGAGGTCCCATTCTCCATGGTGAGCTTGGCCTGATGTCAAATGGCCATGAAGAGCTGCCCACAGCATACATGACACAGGCTACAGCACAGGCAGAAAGAACCACCTTTCAGGACTCAAGCAATCTGAAGGAAGCAGAAAGAGTGGCCTAGAGTCCCTTTGGGTCCATTACAGACCACAAGTCCCAGTGCCAAAACCCCTGAAGGATCAGGCTTATGACCTCAGGCTCCTCTACAATCCCCTGAGCATAACAGTGCCCCACTACTCACCTATGAAACCCTTCTGCTCGTCATCCGAGATGCGTAGCAGCAGCTCTCGGTGGGAGTTGCTGATATCAGGAGCCACTAGCTTGACAAGCTGCTTCCACTGGGCCTCTCTAACCACAAACTGCGCTCCTTCCTCTTCCTTCAGGATGTTGAAGGCCTCTATCATCTTGCAGTGCTTCATGTAAGCAAGCTTACGGATCTCGTTCTAGAGAGAGAGTATTGTGATTCAGGCAGCTTCAGTCACCTTTCCTCTTTTTTTTTTTTTTAAAAGAAAATCATTTCATGGCACAGAGATGCAAGACTCAGAGGAACACACTTGGAGTATATTAGAAAAAAGTACAGCACAGTCAGTGGGGGTGATGAGTAGTGCTATTTAACAGGCAAATGTGGACTGTCTGTACAGCACTCTGGAAGGATCAATGGATTTCTTGCTGCTGGGAGATGCATTGAAAAACCGGAAGAAGAGACAAAGGATAGTGTCTAACAGGAAGGAGACAAAGATCACAGGATCTGCATGTTCACAGGTCACAGAAACAAAGAGGATGCGTCCACACATGCTTCCCATGCGTAAGTGAATACTGCTGAGATCGGGGTAGAGATCCTACTCTGCACACAATTATGAGCAGGCTACAGAATCTTATACCCTTGGGAGACCAGCCTCTGGGAAGACCTAGCAACCTGCTTACTGAGAAAATGTCAGTCCCCTCATGGAAGCACCCAGAATTTCCAGCTCTCACCCTTTGATCACAAGTACTAAACTGCACCTACTCAGTTTGGGTAGGAGCAGCAAGAATTCTGATTCACGTACACCTCCACTTACATTTCCTTTGCTTTAAGAGCATATGCAATGGCAGATAAAGTGTGCTGTGTGCTTATAGCCAACTCAAATCAGTCTCCTGCATAGAGCCAGCATTTCTGAGGTAGGACTAAGGCTCTAACAACAGCAATAACACAGAGACACCAGTTGCAACTTCTTGGGCCCACAGCACTACAGAATGTTTCATTGTTAAATGCTAAAAACAGAACTTGCAACAATCCCCATGATATGAAAGGTGGACCTGTGCTTGTTATTTGCAGTGCAAAGGCAAGAAGCTGAACCGCTTCTCCAGAGGCAGATGCTTTCCAAGGGAAAGCCAGATATTTCATTACAAGGTTCTATCAAACAGCAGGCAGTCACCAATTACTATTTGCTCCTCCAAACATTACCTTCAGGTGTTTTTTGTAGTTGTTGTACACAACAGCCAGGAAGAGAGACATGAAGATATAAGTGTTGATGATGACAAAGGCAATGAAAAACAGGGCATACCATGAGCTGAAGTCAAATGCCGGCATCCTAGAGAAGGGGAGAGAGGTTGCTACTTGCTAGGCAAACACGGACATAAAAGAAGCCACAAGAAAACAGTCTTCCAGATGGATATCTAAGTACTGTTTTGGATAGCTAGATAAAGGTTGCCAGATAACACCCAAGCTAAAACCCATGCATTAGTTCAGTTAGAGAACAGTTGTCTTCCACTACATTTTCATTCTAGTTTATCAGGCTCTGACTGAAGGGATGCAGAGGAGAAAGCACAGAGATTGAGCTTCTGTCAGCATGGCTAAGTTTAAGTGCAGAGTCTTGAGGTGGTGTCTCAGTCACAAGCTGGTTATTGCCTTCACAGACCCTGACTGCACACAGACCTCCTCTTCCACTTACTCTAGGAGGACTAGCAGCATTTTTCTGTCTAAATGCCCAGGGTCCCTGTAACACCCCAGTTCTGTTCAGTACATCTCCAGTGTACAAATGAGTGCGCCATTCCTCCCTGCCCCCCATCTTTGATGGCACCTTCACAGTACAAATCGAAATGGGAATCCAGTTAGAAGAAATGAGGATGGAAAGCCCAACCCTCACATAAGTTTAACACAGATGTACAAATTAAAAGGAGTCTGCACAGAAAGACTTGCAAATATTACAAGAGAAAAGACACCTGATCACTGCAGCACATACATCCTTTTCACAAAAGACTGTATGTTTGTCCCTCCAGCTTAAGCCTTCATCAGCTACTGGGTCATTCGGAAAGCAGTATTTTTATTGCTTCTTTTCTAAAAGCCTTCCTAACCTCAGATTGTGGTTCAGAGCCATTTATAAAACAGATGGCTGAGAATTCATGAAGCCCCTGAAGGCTGGAAAAGTAAAAACCCTGTTGCTGCTCTGAAATACCTTCTTGTGCAAATCACAGTATTGTTCTAACCAGAGATCTGGCCACTAGGAGCAGGACACCAGCATTCACAACAAAAAGACTGCAAGCTCAGCATACATACATAACATCCGGGCTGTTCGCTGTCGTCACCAGCACATAGAGGTCAAAGACAATTTCTAAGTAGTTTCTGAAATATGGCAAGCCTTCTGCTGTCTGAAGATTCCTAAGAGGAAAAGGACAATCTGAAGTTAAGCACAGAGATCACATGTTCCACCACAGAAACTGCACATATCAGCAGTGCTTGTATTCACTAGTAACTGTTTGGAGTTGCCAGATTCCCTCCTGCCTGAAAGTATCACACACATTCTTCCCACCCAGCTCTGAGCAAAGGAAGTATTCACACCTCTCACCAAACAGCTTCAAGGCCATGAGGGAGAACATAAGAAGGCTAAACATGAAGAGCAAGAAGACATAGGTGATCTCTGGCAGTGTGTTGCGGATGCTGCGGAAGGCTCTTCGAATCTGCTAGGGAGAAGGAAAGTGTTTAGAGGCAAGATTGTACCCATTCTTCCCCTCACCATCCTATCTGGATCAAACACCTACACACGGACATGCAAGCAAAGTGGGACATTCTTCTGTCACCTGGCAGGAGAGATTCTGACCCAGATGTGCCAGCTACTCTGCTAAAACCCATGCAAGAGTACCAGGCCATTCCTCCTCATTCCCCAGAGGGGATGCTAGAAGGACAAACCCTATTTGCATGCCATCATGAACTCAGATAGCCAAGAGACAGAGGGCCCTGTGGCACTGCTGAGATGCTCTTGCTGCAGGGGACTCATCACGGACAGAAGCTTCAGGCCACAAAACACATGCTCGAGTTCAACTGCTCCCTCCTCCAGGTCTCCACACCACAGTCATTTATTCATTTGTAAGTTGGGACCAAAATGATCTTGAGCAGCAGGGCAAAGATCTCCCCGTGACAAGAGGCATCAGAGTCCAAGTCACCCATCTAGACTGTAAGTCCAGTTTCTGAGAACAGCATGACACTTGTGCTTGTTTGCCTAGGAGACTTCCAGAAATAAGTAACCTGGGCCCTGACCCAGAGAGAAACAGTTTTCTCATCTGCAGTGCTGCTCACATTCACATCTCCTGAGGACAGCATCTGACTGCTTGCAAACAGAGACTGCCCCTCCACACAGGCTGGACTGAGCACAGCCCACAGGCTGACCTTACAAGAAACGTTCTTCCTTCTCCATGCAGTCTTAGACTTTGTTAAGTACCATCTTCCCTAAAACCATCCCAGCACTGTGCTTGCTGAGAAGTTCTAGTTCCAGCCCCAAGCACGCTTAGGTCTCTGGATAGCGGTAACCCAGCCCATCAGTACAGGGAGAAGCCTTTCAGTACTTGGAACACAGCCCAGGCAGCACCAGTGCAAACACACTTTTCTCCATCTTTAGTTCTTGCTTTAGGCTACTTCTGAGAGAAGCCTTCATTCAAAGGAGCCTAAATGATGCCATTTCTGCACAAAAATCCCCTGCTTCTCAAAAAGCAGCAGGCTGTCCAAAACCAGACCCTGCACCAGGGATACATCCCACCAGACCTCTTCCCTACCTGGCGACTCTCTGCAAAGTTGATCAGGAAGATGGGCCTCACAATTCTTGACCATCGAATGCTCCTCACATCATACATCCTGAGGACCCCATATATGGCCAAGTCTGTTAGGGATAACTGTAGAAGAAAGAAGGAAAATTCCCAGAAGCAATGTTGGAAATGGGTCTAGATGGTGATGACAATAGGGTTACCCAACACAAGACAGATGCCCACATGACAGGTTTGTGAGGACAGGCCCAACTGTTGGTTGATCTGGCCATGGCTCTTGTAGAGCCCTTGAAAATCAGGCCTGTGTTATCGGGAAAGCAATAGGAGGAAAGAGGCCACCTCCACACTGTACACTTCAACTCTGGGTGCTTCCCTAGGCCTAACTCACCAGGATTGCAACCATGATGCAGATATTCTTGGTATCCTTCCAGAACACATTGCGAAGGGTGACTTTTGCAAAATGTGTCAGTCGGCCAAAGAACACCACAAGGCACAACACCTCAACCACAGAGGTGACCTGCAGAAAGAGAAGGGGCCCAAGTCAGGACAACCAAGAGCAGCACCAGCCTTCTTCACACTGATGGGTACGTTCAGGTTGGGGTACAGCCAAAAGAAAACCAGAGGCAGTATAAAAGTTTCTCCAGTGGGTTTTGTTGTCAGCTGTTTTACAGGCTCACATAGCCAGTGCTAAGCAATAGTTTCAGGCTGCCTTTTGTGATATTCCCTTCCACAGGCAGGTCAAAGCCAGTAAATTTCTATTTGCTTAGGATTCAAGGAGCACATTTCTCAAACACACTAGTGCAGGACAAATAAAGGCTACAGAAAAATCAGTCCTAAGGGCAACTCTCCGCTTCTGCTTTCAGGCATGAAGACTGAACTTGGGTCACATAGAAGGCTAGAATTGTTCTCCAAGATGCAGAAAAGCAACGTGTCTTTGTCCACAGTCACATCAGTCATTGCTGACAGCCATGATGGCTCCCATGTCTAGCTCCTATACCGCTTTTTTGTTCCCATTTCAGGATATCAAGAGAAATATTAGCACCATTTATCTCTTGACAACTAGTTTCAAGCAAGAAACCCTTGCTTGCTCCACCAAGCAACACAGTGATACTTGCACTGCTGCTTCTATATTGAAAACTTACCAGGAAGGGGAGCGGATATACAGCAGGTTCTTCAAACATTGCAAGGGACAGGTTGAGAAAAATGAAGAAGTAGGTGGCGGTTCGCATAATCCAGTGGTTATAGAGATAATAAAGCCTGTAGAAAGAGGGCAGTGGCACCATAAATGAAGGCTTCAGTACACATACCCATGTGTTCACCAAATGCATTTTGAAAGAACAGCACATGCTGTCCCAAACAGCCATGGAGGAAGGGCAAGAGCAGCACAATTCTGGCTAGATAGGGATTTGGCAATTTGTTTCCTGGTCCTTTCTTATAGTCTCATAGCTGATGGATGCTACACTCCCTTTCCGGAAGCAAAAAGCCCAGGAAGGTGGAACACAGGCATTCTTCGGTTCAGTTTAAGACTGCAACATACAGATTTGGTAAAGCCGTTTCCTTTTCTGTCATTACCTTGCTCCTTAATTTGAGTGCAAACTTCTGCTAAGATCAGGTATCCACATGACACACAAACTAAATCTGATTAGTTATCTAACACCCTTTCTTTGCAGGTTAAAAGGCAAAGAGATAAGAAAAGCCACCAGAGAACAGTATGGAGTTTCACAGTAAGCTTTTTTTTATATATACAGAGCTTAAGCAGTATTCTGTCCCTATAGGCAGCAAAACCTCTGGTGAATGCTAGTAATAGCCATGAACACATCCAGCTCCAAGCCTCCCACAGGATGTTTCACACAGTGGCATGCAACAGTGGCTCCTCTGGGGAGATGCAGAGCAGATCTGTAGAGCATATGGTTTCTCTGCCAATAAAAAACAGCTGCCAACATTGCCAAACAGTCATTTCATCTGCCCAATAACCACTTGCATAAAGGCTACGGGGCAGGTGACATGATATTTTACCCTTAATAACACCATCAAAGACACAGCCACTTAAACCCTGCTCATTTCTACTATTTATACTGAGCATGCTTGGGCAGTACAAGATTATATGCACACAGTCTGTTTTTCCAAAGCAGACAGGCATTACAGCTACACGACACAACAGCATCCATCTGCTCAAATCCTTTGTAACAAACATACCTAGCCACAATTGTGTCTCCAAGGTACCCCAAAAACTTTATCAGCTAAGACATGAGAACTAAGTATAAAGGGAAGGGTTTTGTGGGGTCATTACAGGAGTCATTAATGCTCACACACTGCTTTGTGGGCAGCCCTGTATTGCTGTTCCCTTCCACACTAGCCACCTTCTCTTAAGTTTTACAGAAAGAAACAGTTTGCCTAAAGCAATCCTAGCTGGAGGGACACATCACCTCTCTGAAGCTGCTTGGCCTCTTAACCATCAGCTAAAAGTGAAGAGAGCCACTGTAGCAGGCAAAACAGTCTTAAGTGAGATTCCCCAAGTCATCATCAATGAGCTTTTAATTACTCCCCTAGCAGCTACCACCCATTCTGAAGTACACCTGAGCGAACTCACCATCTGCTCTATCAATTCGCTGAAGTTCTGGTGGGCAGCGGCTTGGCGTCACCCACTGCCACACTAGCTGGCAACACAGGTGTCCACCTAGCACAGGGCTATTCTCCCACCCAGGCCAACCACGCAGTCCCCCGCTACCCAAACCCTGCCACTTACACCCAGCACAGCCACACTCCAGCATCCCCTTCCACAGAGGTGAGGGCTGACCAAGCTCTCCAAACTCCTCATTCCCACAAGAGTGCTGCAGCTTCAGTCTTGAAAAATTTGATTTTTTTTTTCCTCTAGGAAAAAGCAAGCTTTTGTCTCCTTTCCCAGATGCACTAAGCCCCATTCAACATCCACGTTTCACCTTAAATCCGGTTCTGTGCATCCCGCCCCTCCAACCTCTCCAGCACACAGCCCGTGAGCCCGAGGCCCCCAGACTTGTTTAGCTGTCGCTCTTCGGACACAGTTGCGGTCGGTTCTTCGCATCCCTCCTCGACTGCCCCGCACACTGACTTCGAAACCAGCACGGAGCCCTGCTCCCACGGGACGGCAGGGGTGCTTGTGGGGACACGGTCCCCCTTACCTGACTGCCTCCGGGGAGGTCTTAAAAGGAATGTTTCTGTTGTACTGCGCATCGGAGACAAACGCCGCTGCCAGCAGCAGATCCTGCGGGAAGGGGAGAAGCACAGACAGTAGGTGATGGAGCCTGAAACAAAACCTAAGGCCAACGTTCAAAGCAGACCCCCTTCCCCCCAGTGCGGACTACAGAGGTGAGGAGCGGCACAAAGCATACGGCAGCCTCCCGCGGCCCCCTGCTGCTCCCGGGCACCCGCTCCGCTACCTGCGAAGCCGCCTCCGCCATG